ACTAGTTTTTTTTTTTTTTTTTTTTTTTTTTTTTTTTTTTTTTTTTTTTTTTTGAGAAAACCTGATCTAGGATTAGTTTCTTTATTTCTATTTCACAAACTTGTTGTGATTCTTTGGATTAAATGCTAGTCTTATAAGTATGTGTGAAAAATAAACAAGTGACAAGGAAGTTTAATCGGATCTTATATTGTTTATTAATTATTTCTCATGCTTTATTTATAGTGCATGCACTTAATCTTCGATTCTTGCCTGCTCCTTCTCATTGGATCTGGTGGTGTTATAAAATATGTTAGAAAGGTTGGCGTCTTTAAGTTATTTCTATTCTTGTTTGGTCAATTTTGGTACAATAAATGCACTGCCTCTATAAATGAATTATCAAAACCTTATCTTTTTCCGTATGGTCAATTTCATTTTTTTTTTCATATATATAAGGAGAGATTCTCTTGCGTTTGGCGTACTGATAGGTTAAGTTTTTTAACCGTTAAATTTACATATTTTTTTTTATGTGATTTTATACATATTTAAAGAATAAAAAATATGTCCTATCAATATGTTAGTGTACTAGAAAAGGTCTCATATATTAAATGGCCTACAAATTTCTTCACTTGTTTAGTTGCCGTCCTTTCCTTTCTCACTAAAATTATAGGTATAGGTTAATGACTCGCTTGGGACTAAGCAGACTAAAAGCAGTTTATATCCTATTTAATATTTGCCCATTACAATATATTTTAATGAAACGACAATTCAAGATTATACAGAAAAACACAATAAGACTTCGAAAGCCAATAGATTTGTATGTCATGTAGATCTTTGATCACGTGATAAGCTATTCAGTTTGCGTTGTACATCCAGTGGATAATGACTTGGCAATAATATCATTCCCAATTTTCCATGATTTTAGGCCTTATATATTTATTGCTCTACTTTAATCATGCAGACATTTTTTTTTCCTTTCTGGATTCAGATTGTTAATTCTTGCTCAAGGGTATTCTTGTCATTTCCCCACATGCTTTGAGATTTGCAACATAACCTCGTCAAGTCTCCATCTTTTTTTCTTTTAATTTTATTTTCCGCATCAATTCTCAATCTTACACTTAAATATATATATATATATATATATATGTAAGTGGTATTAATATTCATGTCCTTCCTTGGTCGTTGAATAGCAATTAAGAATTGGGATATAAATTAGTGTCAATTATTCGACTTCTGAGAGGAAAACTGGGCCCTATATGACTTATTTTGCATCTGAGCCATGCATATGTGTGCCGAACAATTAATGTCTCTGGCTGAGCCTGTTCATATTTCATAGCTGAACAGGAGGAGAGAAATTATGGTTAATGCCCATAAAGCAAAGCACCGGAAAGTACAAAACAAAGCATAAGGGTGATTATATAATATTACAAAATATTTAACACTATTTGTGTTAAGTACTACTATTAATAAAAAGTAGATTTCATTTGTGAATCTCATATTATCGAGATTGATTTTTTATTAGTGAGTGGTGTTCAACATGATTGATGTCTTGTAACACTATTTTTAATTTCAGGGGCATGTGCAGAAAAAAAAAGTGACATAATAAGATCGGTCACACATTAGAACCTTCATAAACAATTCTCTATTAGGCTTAGGCTTTTCATATTTTCAACCCTTTTATGAAGATAACGTATATATGTTTAATTTCAGGTCTACTACCAAATGGGAACTTCGAGTATGGTCCAAAACCATCAGAAATGAAAGGCACGTTAGTGTTAAATCGCAAAGCAATTCCCAATTGGGAAATCTCAGGCGAAGTTGAGTACATAAAATCAGGTCATACACAAGGGGACATGTTACTAGTAGTGCCCGAGGGAGCCTTTGCAGTGAGGCTTGGCAACGAGGCTTCAATTAAGCAAAAGGTTAGGATGATCAAGGATGGGTTCTACTCGCTAACGTTTAGCGCCGCGCGCACGTGCGCCCAAGAGGAGAAGCTGAATGTGTCGGTTTCGCGAAGTTTGGAGCCAAATGACTGGGGAATTCTGCCAATGCAAACCATGTATAGCAGCAACGGATGGGATTCATATTCATACGGTTTCAAAGCAGATGCTTCCCAAATAGAGATTATCATCCATAACCCGGGCGTTGAGGAGGATCCTGCTTGTGGCCCAGTTATTGATTCAGTTGCATTGAAGCTTTTGAGCCTTCCTAAACGTACCCGAGGTAACATGTCATGTATAAATGCGCATTATTAAAACGAGGTGTTAGACTTTGACTTTCGATGTTTATTTTTAAGAGTCTAATTATATCTTAATTTTTTTTAAAATATACAGTTTTTGTACTTTTATTAATAAACTCTATATTTACAAATAAAATGTTCCACGACAATCGCATATAATTTTAGTTTTAAAAGGGAGAAAATGGTGAAAGAAAAAAAAAACAAATGTAAAATAAATATTCTAAAATAAAAAAAAATGGGATCACAACCTGTTTTTTTTATTATTATTATTATTTCATAAATATTTTTTTCCTTTTAGAAAAATTTTCAACTATTTTCTACACCATTTTATCTCTTAAAACCTTCACATGCCATACTCATGTTAGATTTCATAAAAAAGTATACGACTTTATTAAGAGAAGGACCAAAATTCTACATTATAACGGTATTTAGACTTTTGAAAAAGTGAAGATACATGTTAGGAATCTAACGGAAGAAAAATGTATATCATCAAAGACTATTAGTGAAAACAACTCTTCTAAATATGTGTTTCTTCCTAAAATACGCACGTTACATGTTTTCTAATTTGTTCATGTTCTTTTCTGCTCCAGCCAACTTGTTGAAAAATGGGAATTTTGAGGAAGGTCCATACGTGTTCCCAAACGCGCCTTGGGGTGTCCTAATCCCACCCCACATTGACGACGCTCACAGTCCATTACCAGGGTGGATAATTGACTCCCTCAAGGCAGTGAAGTACATAGATTCAGACCATTTCCATGTCCCAGAGGGAAAACGAGCCATTGAACTTGTTGGTGGCAAAGAAAGTTCCATAGCACAAATAGTCCGCACAGAACCAGGCAAGGAATATGTCCTCACCTTTGCTGTAGGAGACGCTAAGAACTCTTGTGTGGGCAGTTTGGGGATAGAGGCTTTCGCAGGAAACGGCACAACCAAAGTTGTTTATGTATCCACGGGCAGCGGAGGCTTCAAACGTGCGAAGCTTCGGTTTAAGGCGACACAATGGCGCACACGAGTCATGTTCTTCAGCACGTTTTACACCATGACCAGTGACAATTCTGGTACTCTCTGTGGACCTACGTTGGACGATGTGAAGTTGATCAGCGTTCGCACTCCTCCGCGAACACGACGTGCTTAAGCAATGAACAAAAGAAAAAATTGTGTTTGATTATCCTTTTAGCTTTTACTACATACTTGTAGTTTGTTGTAATAGAAGCAAGCTGAGATCATGCGTAATGTGAGTCTTTTTTACGTTGAATGTCTCACACTCTCATTTATGTATTTATCTTGTTCTATCAGGTGAAATGAAGTTATTTGAGTAGCTCTCTGTGCCCTTTCATCAGTTTTGATTCAGCTTAACACGTTTGATGTTGATGAATACCAGAATCAACCAACCCAAGTTATCAAACTGCTAAAAAGGTAGTAGATGGAAGAAAAAACATGATTTTAAATCGCAAAATGTGGATCTAGATTCTTGGTCTAATTTTTGGTGTCTCAGTTGGACTCTTACCATTCATATCATACCACTTTAATTAATAGACTCAAGACAAAATAACATATAAAAAGTCAAAAAAACATTGAGTCATGTATAATATCTATTCCACTCTTAAAATCTCAATAGTGCAAGTGAATACAAAATTAGCTTTCCCTCCCTAAGTTGAAGAAATGCGGCTGTTAAAGAACTCAAAGCCTGTAAATACAAGAAAATCTCAATCAACTAAAAGGATCCTATTCAAAGATCAGCTCTACTCAATCAGCATCTTGTAAATACTAGACTTGGACGCTTACAGTGTGTCGTTCAAAAGCTTTTTTTTTTTTTTTTTTTGTTACGACATATCGTTTGGTGAACGTAATAATTGAGAGCTGTTGTTTTTTTCCCCTCATTCATGGTTTCTTCATTTTATTTATTTATTTATTTTGGCTTTCTTGAATTTGTTGCTTCTGAAGTTCTGATTAATTCAAGACAATCACAAAGGCCTATCCAAATATGCTGTTTATGAAAAAAAGGAGTTTATATATTAAATTTAGGAAAAAATCGCCAGAAGAACAGAGAAAGAAATAACACTTTGATTGGCCAAATGTTTAAAACCGTTAAACTATATCTTTAACATTATCAATTGAATAATTTAAAACCTATACTACCAAACAAAATAAATTAACTCTTAAAAATATAAATCTTTTTTTTTCCCTAAAAAAGAAGATTGGTGGCGTCTTCACACTCCCAGCCCACGACCATCTTACCAATTTATTAGGACCACAAGTGGAGCAGAAGGAAATTTGGCCCATATTTTATTTACATAAAAAAAAAAAAGTCTAAAATCATCTTAACCCGACTCATATTCGAAAAACCGATGAGGGACATAATTTCAGGTTCACTATGAACAATGGAATCAATCTCTGCATGCTGGAAAAGTTGTCTTTCGCCTTTATGCCAACACCAACAATAGTAGAATTTATATAGAATTTATATATATATATATATATATAGAGAGAGAGAGAGAGAGAGAGAGAGAGAGACACACATCTATATATATTTTGTTTTTTTTTAATTCGTGTTTTTTCAAAGTATGGCTGTTGGCTAATAGGCTCTAAATTATTCAAATGTTGTTTAATATTGCTAGTTACTGAATTCGGCGGGAAGTAATTTGCTAGAAATACCCATTAACAAAATATTCATAGTGGGGGTAAATAACACCGTAAAAACAAACCTAATTCTGTTTCTGTTTTCTTTGCTTCCAAACAGTTTTCCACCCCCTCTATTCAACAGTGTATAATACAGAAAATGAGTAAGAAATATCACTTTATTGGTCTATCATGTACTGAAGAGCAGGACATTTATTGTTTTGCTCGACAAAGAAATGGCTGAATGCTGCTTAACCACTCATTCTCTAAGGCAAGTTGATTACAAATGGAGAAAGTTCGATCGACTAGATCATCTAAAAAAACATGGAAGTATGGCATTTCATATCACTTTACATTCAAACACAATAAGCATAGAAAACGTCCCTGATTTGATCAGTTGACAACATCTAGCACCAGCTTTCGGGACTTGAAAATAGACCATTTCAAGCGCCGATAGTAGGCGGCTTGTAGAAGTGCAAGCGACAGCACAAAAATCCACTTAAATCCCATCCGTTAATTATCCAAAATAAAAGAAAAATAGTTATATAATAAGGAACTGGGTTCACTTAGGACTCTCTGTAGTAACAATCCGTGATTCTAATCATACACAGTTTTTGGATCAACTTATTAAGTCAATTTTGCTTTTAACCTAAACTGTAAAACACAAGAAGAATCCAAAATCATATGATTCACTACCTGAATGCATATGTTCTTTCAAATGCAACAAATTGTAAGCAACATTCAATATGAAATGTGCTCGCAATGTTTATGTTTACTGAAGGAGCAATTATACGGGGAATTACCAGCTTTCTTTCTTCCATCTCCGGCTCTGCAGCCCACGACAAAAATGTAACCACATCTTTCCCCATCTGACAAAACATTCAACAAAGAATTTAAAAATGTTGTCCTATCATCATTTATCAGAGAAAACTACAAAATTAGCAGGATTACTTGTGACTCTGTTGCAGGGGTACCATCTTCATATTCAATAGCACCATCATTGAGCATTTTGGGCATAGCTATTGCTCCACCAGGGAAATAGGGATTATAATGCAATCCTTCTCGAATCTACATTCACAACCAGAGGGATGCCACACCCAAAAAACAACAAGAAGATTTAAAATCTTACTGATAACAAATTCTGAGAAACTTTTTAACTGCGACTGATTATAAACTCTTTAAGTGGCAGAAATTACCGAGATACCAGCAGGAGGATCACGGTAACCAGTTAAGAGAGTGAATACGTAGTTCTGACCATTATGGCGGGCCTGAAATGTCAATAAATTAGATAAGTTCATGGAAAAAGATTCTTCACTTTGGTGTGACTGAATATACCTTTGTGATGAGACTGAGATCTGGAGGATATGCTCCTCCATTGGCAAACCTTGCTGCTTGTTCATTGGCATATGGCTGTGGAAAGCAATCGCTTAGCTTGCCAGGACGGGTGAACATCTCACCCTCATCATTAGGCCCATCCTCAACCTCAAATTCTGCAGCCATAGCCTTTGTCTCTTCTTCAGCGTAAGCAACACCCACAAGATCACGGTACGAGATTAGTGACATAGAATGGCAGGATGCGCAGACTTGTTGGTAGACCTGGTGACCTCTACGAATCCTGACCATGGATAATTGTCATACACCAAAAATTAAAAAATAAAAAAATAAAAGAATGAAAAGTAGTGCTAAACATCACAATGAAACCTGCATTCCTCATACACAAATATCACCCCCCCCCCCCCAAAAAAAAAAAAAAAAGAACTTGATATCTTTTGATTGTTAAGAAGTAGGTGGGAGAGGTACATTCTTCATGTTGAAAATGCATCACCCAGAGTAGCTCAAGGGCATTTGTATAAACCATTTCAAACAATAAAATGGACGAGTAGAAAAGGAACTTACGAAGCAGGGTCATAAGAGCTGAGGATGCCCTTGTGAGGCCATGGATAGCTAGGAGAGTCCAACCCATGTTCTGCCTCATCCGAACAATGCGCTATTGTTGCACTACTCAAAAGGCCTGAAACGCCAGCTCCCAGGAGTGCAAACAGTCTTTAAGACTTTAAGCCAGAAGATCCTAGTCTTTCTTGTCTGTGTTCTGAAATAAGGAAAGGTAAGGCTCGAGAAGTCTGCAGTAAAAAATTAATTATTATTGACATCGAAGAAAAACTAAAATCAACTAATTTAAAAGGACAATTTTTCCCCCCCGAACTTTGGGTCTTGTGAATGTGCCTTTAAACTTCAAACATAACTTATAATCCCCAATGCGGCACACACGAGACAAAAACATAGGGGTAAACAACACAGGTGAAGATGGACGGAAAAAAGTCCCCAATTTTGTAGTTCTTTTATACGTTTTTCTCACCTTTTAATTTGATGGACATTTTCATAAATTCAAAGTAATTTTTCAAGCAATCTTATCTTATTGCGTAACACTAGGCAATCCATCCATGGAACTAATGGAAGCACCAGTTTGTCTTGGTTTCTAACTTGAGGGGAAATGGAAGTTACAAGTCCTAAAATTCAGGGGGAAATAAAGTCAATCCAAGCTCTAAAGACTTATTGTGCATTTGGTTGGTGTATTTGTGCCATGATTTGAATTATGGTTTGTGGTTCGCTACAGTATTTTCTCTCACAAAAAACACACGTAAATCGAGAATGGTTCTAAATCCATGAACCAAATGTCTACTAGTTGTCATTGTTAGACATCACAAGAGAACTAGACTGAAATGAAGAATATACCTTTTTTCTAGCACAAGATACAACTAAAGAAATTCTCAACACAAAGCAATGGAGGGATCACTAAAAGATAAACACGGTACACCATATAACTTTTTCTTTTCTTTTTTTTTTTCTCTTTTTTTTTTTTGGTTTTTTTTTGACAAATTCGTAAAACACAGTCATCTTTCCCATATTGAGTTTAACGTAATCATTTTTAAGGAAGTTAAATGTCAGTCCAAGACTTCTACTTAGAAGAAACATTTTTCTCAAATGAGTGACCATGAAGAGCTCAATAAAACGAGTCATGATTAAAACAAAATCCTAAATGGTACCTTGAAATCTGAGGCTACAAGAGATGGATCATTCCTTTGAAGAACTCCCCTCGCAATAAAGCGATTGAACAGCAAAAATCCTGGGTTTTGATTGTAGAAAAAGGTGAAGAATTCCATAAGTAAAGAGAGTAAAGAACTATGATAACAATTTTGAGAAAAAAAAATGGTGATACTAAGAAACAAAGAACAACCATCAAACTTCCCATATTATGGGAAAGGAAAACAAACGAAAAACGGTTAAAAGGCTATATCAGATCCTTTGATGCATTTTCCTGACGTAGCGGCGCAGCCAACATCGAGTAAGGCGTAGAGGTTACAGAGCTAAAAGAGTGCCATTGAAATCGATCATACATTTACCAAAAAGACAACAAGGAAAACCAGAAGGAAATGACAAACGACATTAGCAAAAACACGACACACATTAGAAAACGACAAGACATTTGGATAAAAACTGGACACGATAGTCTATTAAAAAAAGAAAAAGAAAAAACGACAATAACTAAAAACGACGCAATAAAAAGGCGTAAATAATAACGACAACTAGACAAACATAGAAACAATGCACTGACAAATGACAACAAACCGCAAGAAAAAAAGAAAATAAAAAAATGACAAACGACAATAAACAAGAGAATTGATCGATTATAAGGAGGGAAAAGACATGAAATAAAAACAACAATGAAAGGAAGAAGACAAACCACAAGTTATAATTAGCTACAAAAAATCCCTTAATCACCAAAAAAAAAAAAGGGGGGGGGGGGAGGGGGGGGGGGGGGGGGCGGGCCCCCCCCCCCGCTAAATTAAGCGACGAAAAGCTCCTTGAAGTGAAGCAATTGATCACCCAAGTCCAATTAGGATTTTTTCTATAAGAAATTTAAAGAAATTCATTTATGGAAGGCATAGCAGCCAGAAAATGGAAAGATGCGCTCCGCTATTATAGAAATCTGTTAAACAAAAATTGGTGATGCAAAAGATAGAAAGTAAAAGTAAGAGAAACAGATAGGTACCTTTGGTTTCGATGCCGATCTTCTTACCAAAACCTGCAAAAGCACTTGCAATAAAATCCTTAACAGAAGACCCAAAAATTTTAGCAGACAAATAATGGTAAAACAGTGAGTGGGAGAAAATACCCATGTTCATGAAGAAGATGGTTAGGCAGAGGAAGAAGAAAAAAAAAATAATCAGAGTATAGTTGGGAAATAACACAAGTATCAACTGAGAAAAACTTTCTTTGCTCACCAAAAAAAAAAAAATTAAGAAAAAAAGAAATAAAGAAAGATCAAACTTTCTGACGCTTTTTATCTAGCCATTGATCTGAGTCCGGATGTTCCAGGTTTTTTTCTGGATTATGACGTGTCCGGAGGTAGGCCCAATCCATTTATCTGATATTGTGGAATATGCTTATTCGTTACAAATAATTTTTCCCTTTACAATTCAATCAATTTGTACAAATATTTTGTATTGTATTACTAAAAGTACTTGCTAATTCTCTCAAGAAAATATTTACAAATAGTTCTATAAGAAATGCTTACGACTAATTTCTCAAAAAAAAAAATGTACTCTTTTTTTTGGAGAACTACCCAAAAAAATATTAGCCGTTTATAATTCAAAATTTTGCAAGTATCAATATAATTGGATTTTTTTATTTAAAAATTAATTGGATGTTTATTTTTTAATAAAATTCGAGTAAAAAACACAGAATATTTTGATAATTATTTCCAAAATCAAACATTATTCAGCTTTCCTTAAAAAAAAAAAAAAATCATTTATTTTACCAATTTAAATTTTATTACAATAAAAAATTCTTAAAAATAATCATATTTAATTTTTTTATTATAATAAAAAATTATTATATACAATTATATTTTTAACTCAAATTAAAACCTCTATTATAATAAAAAATTATTATATACAATTATATTTTTAACTCAAATTAAAAACTATCATGAAATTAAACTACTCTTATTCCATGCAACTATCGCTGTCACCAAAAGTCAAACCGATGGCAACGTCGCCGTTTAGAAACACTCCACGTTTTGCATTTTTAGAACGAACAACGTGGCGTCTTATGAACCGGTAACATAGTCTCATTTCGTCCGTCCATTATGGCGCGAAACTGCAATAGATCGACAAGCCGTTTATGTTCAACTGCAATAAAGCTTCTCGCTTTCTCTTTTCCTCTCTTCTTCTTCTGACCCAATCCTCTCTAGCTCTTTGTTTCAGTACCCCAAACAACGTAAAAATGGCGTCCGGCTCGGGTTCTCTGATGTGGTTCCGCAAAGGCCTCAGGATCCACGACAACCCGGCTCTCGACTATGCCTCCAAGGGCTCCGCCCTCCTCTACCCCTTGTTCGTCATCGACCCGCATTACATGAAACCCGACCCAACCGAATTTTCTCCCGGGTCCTCTCGTGCCGGCCTGAACCGGATTCGCTTCCTGCTGGAGAGCCTGGTCGATTTGGATTCGAATCTCAAGGAGCTCGGTTCACGCCTCCTGGTGCTTAAGGGCGAACCTGGCGAAATCCTCATTCGTTGCCTTAAGCAGGTAACGGATACTGTGTGTTTCTTTTTTCTCTGTTTTGGGTCCCTTTTTTTTTTAATGAATTTATGTGTGTTTCAGTGGGATGTGAAAAGGCTTTGCTTTGAATACGACTCTGAACCGTATTACCAAGCTATGGACGTTAAAGTAAAGGTAATCTCTTTTCGGTTTAAGCTTTGAAAATTATGGTTTTACAAAAGAAGGAAAAAAGAAAAAAAAAAAGGGGGGGGGGGGGAGGGGAATATTGTGAGTGAAGTGGGAAGGATTTTGTTTGTGTTGACAGGAATATGCAGCTGCGAATGGGATTGAGGTTTTCTCTCCTGTGAGTCACACACTCTTTGATCCTGCAGATATCATACAGAAGGTATGCATAATGTGCAAAAAAAAAAGCTTTTTGTTTTGTTTTGTTTTGTCTAATGACACTGACAACAGGCTGTTGTAGTTTTCTTGTTACATCCAATTTAGTATTATACGACGCTGATTCAGAACATTGTCAATAATAAACTTGGGGGCTTTTTTAAAAGGCTGTTCATATTGCAAAAGGCTTCCTTTGATTGTTATTTTATTGAGAGATTGTTGTTTTTATTTGCTTTCCTTCGAATAATGAGCTTCGTTATTTCTCTAGTTTCTTTTTGTTTCTTGGATTTTATCCTCACTGGTTGATGGAAAGTTTGACAATTTCATTTGATTTTTTGAGAAGAATGGAGGAAAGCCACCGCTGAGCTATCAGTCGTTTTTGAAACTTGCTGGGAAACCTGCATGGGCGTCTTCTCAGCTCATAACCACGCTTTCCTCGCTTCCTCCTGTAGGAGAGTTTGGAAATTGTGAGATTTTTGAGGTTCCAACAGTTGAAGAACTTGGCTATGAAGACCCTGGACAGGTTTTAACCTATAACACAACCCAAATATTCTCTTTTCTTGGCAATTTTGTTGAAAAAAAAATGGGTACGCAGGACGAATTTACTCCTTTCAGAGGAGGTGAATCTGAAGCGTTAAAGAGGTTGAAAGACTCGATAAGCGATAAGGTATGATACAGCTTACAAAATTGTCATCCTAGATGTTCTAATGGGTGTCAAAGTAGTTGTATCTTAGGTTTCCTTTTTTTTTTCTTCTTTATTTCCTTTCTATAGGTTTAACCCAATGAGACAATAACATTATCAAAATGAACCAACTTTCTGAAAGTTCATCTCTATGATTTATTGGTGGGGTAAGTTCTAGATTATTTTCTCTGAAACTTCAATTGCCGTATTGCGTCGGACTGCAGGAGTGGGTTGCAAATTTTGAGAAACCTAAGGGTGACCCATCTGCATTTCTAAAGCCAGCTACAACTGTTTTGTCCCCTTATTTGAAGGTGAGTAACAAGCAGAAAGAGCTGTTCCAGTTAATGCGATCCAATATTTCTATTGTTAAGCGTGACTTTCAGTGTTGTCATCTAAGCCTATTTATTGCTATTCTGAAAGAAAAAAATTGTGTTTTTGTCAGTTTGGATGTCTGTCTTCGAGGTACTTCTATCAATGCCTTCAGGATGTGTACAAAAATGTCAAAAAGCACACGTCTCCACCGGTTTCCCTTGTTGGACAGGTAGCCTTCCTAAGATGATTGATTTTCAACAAACATGTTGTAATTGCAGAACACTGAAATCTAATGTTGGTTTGTAGTTGTTGTGGAGGGACTTCTTCTATACTGTGGCTTTTGGTACTCCTAATTTCGATCAGATGAAAATTAATAGAATATGCAAGCAGGTGAAATTTAATGTACTGTGAAATTCATCTGAAGTTCTTATCTACTAGATTTTGTATCTATTGTGGATAAATGATCTTGATACTAATTCTGATGCAGATACCTTGGAACGATAATGAAGAACTATTGACTGCTTGGAGGGATGCCAAGACGGGGTACCCTTGGATTGATGCTATCATGGTTCAGGTATACCATGTCGCCCTTTCACGAGTTAAAATAAATTAGGCATAATAGCGCTGCTTATAGGGGAACTTCTAGACTCAGTTCATGCCTGTAACTGTGGCACTACTTTGCATTTTGGATATTATTGCTTTCATAGTGCATCTTTCCATATTCACCATTACAGCTTCGCAAGTGGGGTTGGATGCATCATCTAGCTCGGCATTGTGTAGCATGTTTCCTAACGCGTGGAGATCTGGTACATCATATAGCTTTTTGTCAGCCTTTATTTGTCTTTATCATCTCCTACTCTTTGACATCAATCTTTTTCTCTGTTGTAAGTTTGTTCACTGGGAGAAAGGTCGTCATGTTTTTGAAAGGCTTCTGATTGATTCAGATTGGGCTATCAATAATGGAAACTGGCTATGGCTATCATGTTCGTCGTTTTTCTACCAGGTACAATTCAGCATACCATCATTATCAGTGGCAATCTGTTTCAGCAGTGCTGAAATAAATAACTAAAGTATATTAGTTTGGAATGAGTCCATTTTTCGCTAATGTACTTAAGTAGGTTTGATAAGAATGCTTATCAATTGTTCTGCTCAGTACAATCGCATATACTCCCCGATCTCATTTGGAAAGAAATATGATCCAAATGGCAACTATATCAGGCATTTTCTTCCTGTATTGAAAGGTATGAAGAGCTTTATTCTCCTCAGTCATATTCTCTTCGCTTGCTGTGTTCTCGTTTCTAGTGTATGACCCAAATGCCACTGACCAGACATGCCAAAGGAGTACATCTATGAGCCCTGGACAGCTCCTCTAAGTGTTCAGACTAAAGCAAAGTGTATCATTGGAAAGGATTATCCAAGACCAGGTCAGTTCTCACTATCCATTTTCTATATTAATGTTGTACTTACCTTGTGATGAGGACCTAAATAATAGTTAACAGCTGTTTCAATCTATATATTTATTTTTCTCATTTTCTTGTCTCGTTTAGTGGTGTCCCATGATTCTGCTAGCAAAGAGTGCAAGAGGAGGATGGGTGAAGCATATGCATTGAACCAAAGATTGAATGGTAAGGTTAGTGACGACGATTTGAATAGCTTACGGAGAAGATTGGAGGAAGATCAGAACCAGGAAGTTAAAGCAAAACGCAAAAGAAAATAACTGATTTGGTGAATGCAAAATTGGTGCCCGGTTTGATGATTGTCTAACTCAAACTTGACAAGTTGCATTCTAAACTCTGGCTTCTACGACTGACACCTATGTTAACATTTGCTTCACTTGTTCGTCGGTTATTTGTGTAGTCATTGCTTTCCTATATTACTCTATCATATATCCTACGCATAACATACTTTTGCTGTAGTTTTCATTTTTTTTCCCCTTTGGAAAAAAAAAAAAGGATTGTTGGAAGAAAGTTCCAACTTTTGATTACTTTTAATCAAGTAAAGAGCTCGTGGTTAGAGTATGCCTTCAGCAGAATGGACCCTAATTCTGAGTGCTGTTAGATCCTTCCATGATCAGATTGTTTTTACCTTCTCATTCATCAGTATATCATTTTCTTTCCTACCCATATTAAGAACGAACTGTACTTTGGAAAGGACAACTACAAGGGAAGGGTACAAAAATTTTAAACGAAAAAAAAAAAAAAAAGAACAAAAGCAAAACATAAACGACAGACTCTTAAAAAAAACATAAACGAGAGAAAACTTAAAAAAGGACTTTGAAAACGACAAGAAAGAAGGAAGGAGAACAAGATGAGGAAGCCGTATAAATGTTCAGATGACATTAACGTGGAGGACAACGATAAGATAAAAACGACAAAGTAATTCTCAACGACAAGAAGTGGAAAACGAATGAATTAAAAAAACGACAACGTGAAAAAGAAGACAAAATACGTCGATATTCCCGTCTAATTTTAGTATTTTATATGTAATAATGGAGGTGATTCTCTTTGAGTTTGTTTGTGGTCCGTAGATTTAGGTTTTAACGAGTTAGAAGTTTCACTAATTATGAGTCTATGCAGATATATTGGTAGCTTTAGAACTACACATTACACGCTCTCAATGGATCAAAATTTGTTATTGATTGTAGTGGTTTCAAAAAGAGTCTTATACATGCCCAAATTGATGTGTCGATGAACTTTCTCAATATATAGGCTCGTCTTTCTCTGTTTTCATCAAAATTTACTAATGGAATCAATTTTTATCGAGTATTTTGTATTGTATACTACAAGATAATCCGCACTATTATTAGTATCCGTAAAATCTTTTAATTGAATGAAATTTTACCTTATAAAAAAAATATCACAAAACGACCAAACAAAGCAAACGGAAACAACATAGATTAGATTTTATGAAAAGCGACAAAAAAGAAAAATCAACAAACTTCAAACGACAAGAAATAGAACAGCATCAAATTAAAAACAAACCACAACACTGAACGCGAGATAAACGACATTGAAATGAACTAGGGCTCATGAGTCAAGAACAAGTTCTTCTTCTGGGCCCGACTAATTCCCATTTTTCTGTAGCCCAAGCACGTGTATCGCCATTTCTCACGTGCCAAGTCAATCCCTCTCTGTAGTTCCCACCCCCAAAACCCAAAGAATCCACAAAGACGACCCATCGCCACCGTTGTCCTGTCTCCTGTGCTCTTCCCCAAATCCCTCATTTCTGCAAAATCACTGTTACAGGCAATTCTATCAGCCACTTTCCTCCGGGGATCTTAGTCCCACACAACAGGGCGTGACCTGAGATCATAAATTCACAATCCCACACTCAATTCGAAAACGATGTGGCGGAGACTTCTCTCTTCATCTAACCTCAAAACCCTAACCCTAGCGGCGGCGGCCACCCCATGCCGATCCGCTTCCGGAGCCGTCCGATTGGTCGACCGCTTCCCGGTTTCTGCCTCCTCCTCTCTCTTTGCCGGCAGTTTCAGCACCGATTCAGGTACGCTCTCCTCCGATCGAACTGTCCTAATTGCTTCGCAGATCTTCGTGAATTGTGGTTATTGAATTTGAATTTGTGCTGTAGCGGATAAAAGTATCAAGAAGAAGGTCGAGGACGTAATGCCGATTGCTACTGGGCACGAGCGAGAGGAGCTTGAGGCTGAACTTGAGGTGAACTTCTGTTTAGCATTTTTTGTTTTTTTTATTTGTTTGGCTGGTGAGGAATTGGAGGTGAAGAAAATTTAATTGTTGGAAATGTTTTGAATCTTTTGCTTATTACTTTTATTCTAAGAACAAAATTGGATTGGAGTGTAGCGGAATGGACTCATGACCACAGCGTATAAATGATTAGATTATTGTTCTTTACTTGTTCTTATTTTGATTTTGATTTTTTTTTTATTTTTTTGGGCAGGGAAAAGATTTGTTGGAGATAAACTATCCTATTGGTCCTTTTGGCACCAAGGTCAGTGTGATCTTGTATTTCCTTACTGAAAATGGCGTTTACGTCTGTTACTGTGTTTGAGATTGTTTTTTTCTTTTTTCAATATGAGAATGTTTTTGAATTTCATTGCTGAAAATGGCTTTCTTACTTTGTTAATGCACTGCTCTGTCCTCATTGGTTTGAAGATAGTTTGAAAAACACTTAAGCAATCAACATGTTGGTTCAGTTTAGCTGATTTCAATTTCATTGTCTTGTCCATAATTCAAAATGTAAAAAGTTCTATTATCTCATTCTAGTATCTGCATATCATACCCTTATATAATATTAAGACTTAAGTATGCAGATGTGAGTTTATAGAACACTTTGGCATAAGGCATAATCCCAATCAAAGTCTCGCCATCCAAACAGCCTGAATTTATATTGAAGTTTTGGTTGTTATAATCTCAATATGTTGGATTGGACCAAGTCGAACTGCAAAATGCTTTCATAATTCTCCATCTTATGCTTTTAATCCGGCGTTGTTACATATTCTGGTGTAGGAATGCTTCATTTGCTGTTAGTTTTTACCTAAATATCTGTCCCTAATGTGTATTTCCTGGTTCTAATGTATATTTGCTGTACCTTTAGGAAGCTCCTGCAGTTGTCAAGTCCTATTATGACAAGAGAATAGTTGGATGCCCTGGCGGTGAAGGAGGTGAGTGCACTTCATCTTGTCATCTTATATTGTTTTATGGTTTGAGTACAACTATGCATACTTGCCGATTCTTATTAAAATAAAAAAAAAGGCGATGCTATAAGTTAGTATCCACTTGATGTGATTCGTCTTTAATTTTGCAGAGGATGAGCATGATGTTGTCTGGTTTTGGCTGGAGAAAGGAAAGCCACATGAATGCCCAGTCTGCTCACAGTATTTTGAGGTAATTGTTATAAACCTCTTACCCTGCCCTACCTCCCTCCTGCTTCAGGGACTGAAAAATTAACTTGTAACTAAACGGGTCATGTTAAGTTGCAGAATCAGATTAGAAGAATTCTCTAGCTAATTCATATCCACAGATTAGAAGGCCTGACAAACTTCAGTAGAAACATGTTAAAGATGGCATGCACTATGAATGTTTATGGTTGTACCCTGGTTCCTTTATCAAAATATCAGATATAATTTATATTAAAAAAGTACATCTGTTATTTATTACTCAGATTAGCATATTGTCCACTCTTAAGTTGATTAGGGTCTTTCTAAATAAAATATTTCAATTTTTGATTTCGTCTGGATTCTGCATGTTATGTAAATCTGATTTACATTTTGGATATTCTAGCAAACCGTTGGATCATAATGCTTTATTTTAAAGGTTAATATACCTTCCAACTCAAGCATATCCCGAGGGGGTCATATTCCCAACTTCATTTTCTTTTCACAGAGAAAAAGTTCATAGTATGGAATTTTAGCTTTAGTTTTTATCAGCATTCAGCAATCAGAATCCCTAATATTTAATCTGCTGTTTCACAGCTTGAAGTGGTGGGACCTGGAGGATCTCCCGATGGACATGACGACGATGGTCATCATCACTGATTATAGCCTGCGGTTTTCCTTCTGGAATAAAGTCTAGGAAATGAAGAGACAATTTTCAGTACGCTCTGCAGATTTCAAAATTCAAAAGCATAATGTTTTGTTTGATTTTGATTGGTCCTAGTTTTGTTGTTGTTGCATTTGCAACATTTGAGACGGAATCTTCTCTGTGGTAATATAGACACAGGCGGGTCTCCTATTGGAACAATGGATTTCTTCAAATGCATTTGTCGAATAATCGTTGGCTATTGATTCTTTACCTTGATTTGGAACATTTTCATTTTCCTCAAAAGGGGACTTGTAGCGTACAGATTGTAAGCTCCTTCCCTTCCCCCCTCCTTTTGGAAAAATATTAAGCACATTTGTTCTAATCCTTTCTAACACGCTCCATATTCATTCAATAGACTCATTCAGCGTGATTGTATTGGAATGGTTCAGTGGTCGTCGATATCGTAATTCGTGGTCTTGTCAAATCTTTAATCTCTTTTGTAGTATTTTATTTTTCGTAAGATTTCTTTTGCGTCACTAGACTAACACGGGTTGCTGGCGAAATTTACCAACCTCGCTGAATGAGTACACGATAAGTTCATGGAGATGATCGTTGCACCTTGGAGGACTTGAAAAGTGAAAACTCTAAGGACCAACCCAGTTTAGGATAAAAGGTTCACTTGAATACAATTTTGGTTCAAAATTCAGTTAAATGAGAAGTTTCTATCTTCATCAGTACGACTCATATGTTGCTTTGAAGAACAATGAATATCAACCGCATACATCATGGTGAACATATTAAAAAAAAAAAAAAAAAAAAAAAAAAAAAAAAAAAAAAAAAAAACAGCCATAGACAAAGGGAGTAAAAGAGAAAAAGCAAAAATAGAAAACAGAATATGGAAATGTTGGTATGACAAATATGCCGTCTTTTAGGACTTATTCGGAAAGCCTTGCATTTGGTTTGCTCCCGAAAGTGTCGAAGCAATGCTAATGAAATCAATATTACGTAGCAAAAATATATATACATATTATATATATATATATATATATATATATATTGTAAAGGGAAATGAGAATCAAATACGAATTGATTCAAAGGCTCACATCACAATCTTTACCAATAACGAGAGAATATATTATCAGCTTTTCTTCCACCAAAACGACGAGAGACAAATGCCTGGACAACTACTTGGACGTCTAGCAACAATCCACCAAATATTTCTTCCACAATAACTTTCAATTTCACATCAACTAAGACCCTTTACTTTAGCGCGATATTGACAAATACTCTTTAAAAGTATATGGGTTAGAATTTTTACTTTATAATCTTGATTCATAACCTTTTTAATCAAATAATTATACTAATAAAAAGATATTTATTAAGAATAAATAGTAAAAGTCTAGACTCATGCACTTTTAAGGATAAATTCTCTAATTTTTTCTTTACTTTACAAGAATTTTGTGAAAAGTACCCAAATGAAGGAAGGCCCACCCTCCACACAAGTAATCTTTATAGCACTCTATAAAACAGAACATTACCAAGTATCTCTTAGAGTTTGTAGTTTGACACTTATTATGCCTTGCGTATATTTATTGCACTCCACAAAGGAATCAAATTATACGGAAATACACAAGAAATAACTAGATTGGACCCCTTCCGCCAAAGGAATAACTACTTCACTTATGAGGCATTAGTAGATGTTGGATTAACTCTTAATAGTTTTTTCTGCTACTATCCTTGAAGCAGTTAAAATTAGCAACTTAAACACTAGTGAAACCCCACTTCAAAAACATATAAAAATATATAAAGTGGAGGAGAACCATGAAATATTTTTAGCTAACTCGTTACTTTAAAAATCAGAAATTTTTTATTTCTGTTCAAAATATAGTCATCTTAGAAGAAAAGAACAACAGAGTAGACACATCTATTTATTTGTGCTATAAAAAAAAAAAAAAACAAAAACAAAACTAGAGTACGTGAATTAATGAGGAATTATGGAAATGTTTCACAAGTTGAACCTTATCTTAAGTTGTTCTTTTTCCCTAAAAACTAAAGCCACACCTGCCCAATGTCTATTATATCAACCCGACAAGATCTAATGCCCTGTCTACTTATTTATTACTTGTTCAATCTACTTTCACTACGTAGTTATTTAATTTATTATCAAAGAAAACCCCTAATTTAAAGACATAGTATGGTTCACAAATGTCTAGTCAATAGATCATAACTAGCTTGCATCTAGGTAGTATTGTTAGTGCTTTATGCATGGATCCATGATAATGTTGATTTTTAGAACCCTTAAGTGTCTCTCTAGAGTAGACTTTTGAGTGTGCGCACCAGCTTGCTCATGAAGAAATTATCAGGGGGGAAAAAAATAAACAAAGAAAAAGCTTCAAGAAAACATAAATAAAATAGATCAAGATTAAAGGAAAAAAAAAAGACAGTTGATCTGCAATTGTTTTTAGAAAGTACTAGTTGAAGAACACGTGCTATGCACGTGAGGATTAATCGTGTAATAAGTTTTAATTACCATGTTATTATTTAAAACATATAAAAGCCTAAAAAGAAACTAAATTTAAAAGAAAAATTAAGTTTTAGGGCAAGTAATAAAAAATAAAAAGGATGAAAAAGGGCCTAAAATGAAAGGGGAACAAAACCGGGGAACAAAACCTTAGGGAGGAAAAAAAAAATTGTAGCAACGAGTGCCATGTTCACGCCGTTTTGGTTGAAAACGCGTGAATAATACTAAGGATTAGCATTTCTATTTTATATATGTGTGTGTGTGTGTATGTAAGTATATAAAATGTCATATCCTGTACTAACACATTTTCTACAAAAATTACCAACCTAAACCATAGCTGGAGATTGGAGTATCTCAATATCTAATAACAACTAACAAGTGCCAACAGCATATATTGTCTCCTATTAAAAAAAACCCCTCAAAATAGTAGCTATCCAATTATTCTAATTAAGTTTGATTCTTTCCTTTACCAAGTGTGGTGGGGATAAGAAATGAGTCCCTTTTTATTTTTTATTTTTGTTAATATGAGTTGACAAACAAAAAGGTGCCTAATATTTTCCACAAAGAAGGGAAAAATATGTTCCTAATTGTTGACCTAGTAAGGAGATCAGATACTGCCAATTGTTACAATAACGAATCATAATTTTCCATGTCAGCAGTGTTTTAAGTCAACTGGTTTTAATACATTGATTACTTACCCAAAATATTTTAGTTATTCTAACTTTAGCAAATAGTGTTGCAGTCCAGCAGTGTAAGCATTCTCTGCTAACCCAATATAAAATTATAGCAATAGATCAGTCACTGTTTGCATACATATGACCATTTCCTATGCAAATATATGTCAATATCCAATTATTAATATTATATTTGCAACTGAAAAAGAATGAAAATATGAATAACAAAAGTTGTATAATTCATCTAAAGATTTTGTTTTGAGAGAGAGCGGGAAAGAAGGAGAATAGTCCGGCCGGCTACGGAAAGAACATCTTCGGTCATTTGGCTTTTAAAATACACCTATGTGCTCTACGTCGGCCGATCTATACGATGATGGAGTCCGTATTGGTGTTTTTTTTTCTCCTTTTTTAGTCGTTGGTGAATTAAAGACAGTCATTCTATCAGTGTTGGTGTTTGTTTTGCCTCCACAAATCGTTAAATCTATGTCAGTTTTGGTTGTTTTTATTGGTGTTCCCCCACCAAGTTCTAATCTTGAGTGGATTTGTGTTGTTTTTTATCTTTTGTATGCCTTTCGCTAGTTTCTCGCTTCGGCAAGCTTAATTTGGAAGAATATTGGCTTTCAAATATCGGTCTTTACAAAGAGTTTACTACAACCTCTTCGGGAGAGCCAATTGTGAAGGGAAAATTAAACGAGTCAAGAGAAGTGCTCCAAATTGTGTCCATCATCGGACCTTTAATCTTGTACTAAGACACCAATGGATCTATTAATTTTGGTTTTTGTTCAAATTTTTTGTATTGAGTTTTTTATAAACTTTATGCTTTGTTGATTAATGAAATGTTATTATGCATTAAAAAAAAGAAAAGAATGAAAATATCATATTTGATGAACTATTGTACCCTAATGCATAATATTATTTTAAATATTACTTTTACTTCTTGTTTTAATTATTAAGTTTTTGAACGTGTAAACGAAACTTTTAAGATTAATATAATTTAAAGGTGAATAAGCTCTTTTTTTTTTTTTAAAGAGCATCATCTAATAGCTATGAAATGCCACCACATTGCAACGTATCCATATTCAGCACTAAATTTGACACCAAAAATAAAATAATACTTGAGAATGATTACCCAAATGCTAGAATTTAGCGTTGGTATATTAATTTAACATTGCATTGAAGATGCTTCTAAAATCAGCTTCAATGCAAATGCACATTTAACATCAAAAATAACTTTGCACTTTGAGAACAAGTTTTCTACTCAAATGTTAAAATTTAATATTGGTACACTAAGGGTCCGTTTAGTTCGTTAATTCGAGTTTTTAATTCGAGTTGAGATGTGCCTTTATGTAAGAGTTTTTTACTGTAGCAAAAAATTAGATGTGACTGTTTCTGAGAGCTTTTTACTGCAACAAAACTCGAATTCTAAACTTGAATCGGTGAAATAAACAAGGCCTAACTTAGTATTGCATGAGAGATACTCAACATAAAAGTTTCCATATTCTCAAACTAGTGTATGACTATTGAAGCTTACAGAAAATTAAAATCTCAATAAGTTTCTAATCTTAGGACGGCGTTCACTAAACCGTAAAGGAATGTAATGGAAAAGGTAATTAGATTGAAAATAAAAGTAAAGTAATAAGATTAAGGGTCATTAATTCCCTTTTATATGTTTACTTGACTATTAAATAGTGTAATGAGAAACAACCACATTCACTTTCTTATGTTTACTAAAATTAGGAATAGTAATGTTATGAATGTAATTACTAAAATATTCTTTTATACAACTAAATAAGCATTGAATGTATAATAATTTGTTAAGGGTAGATAAATAAATTTAGTATTCATTCCCTTTAACAAAGAATCAATACTAAAAGGAGTGTAAAAATTAATATTTCATTTTTTTCATTCCTTATATTGTGCGGTGCTCACTAACCATTTCTTACTTTCTATTTTCATTTGATGTAAAGTAAACATACCATTAATGCAGCGTTATGAAAACCTAAGGAACATAAGTAAATATTTGGGAAGAGGGAAAAAAATACAATAATAATAAAAAAAAGAGTTTGATAGAGAAAAACAACCATTAGAGTGAGGAATGGGTTGTTTTGTCCCAATTATCATTAATGAGAAGCTCTAGTTTTGGACTTTTTTGTGACTTAATGATATTGGTGGATGTTTTGAGCATAAACAAACGAATACTCAACTCAAGGGGTGGGGTTGAGTTCAGCAACCAAAAAATATAGTGGCAAGCAAGAAAGCAAGAAAGCAAGATAGCAAGAAAAGGATGGAAGGAGATAAAAAAGTTCATTTGCTTTCCTTGTTGTCTCTTCCACATTATAAACCCAGGTTGGTAATCTTTATAGATGATATAAAAATCATATCCAAGCGAAAAAGAAAAAAGAAAAAGTTAATTAAATTTAGGGATAAATCTGGGATTAAATTTACTAAAAAGAATTGCAAGAGAGAAAAGTCTTAGTTTTTTTTTTCTCTTTAATTTTAATTTAAACTCTAAAAAGTATAGTTTTATCATTTCTGCATAATGGGCATCTATCAATCATCAAGAATTCATAAACTAATGACTGAAAAAAAGATATTATCTTTTACAAACTTATTAGCTTATTAGCTTACCCTTTTTCCTTGTTTTGTTTTCTGCAAATATTCTTCGGTTTTGTGTTGGGCTTTTGCTTTGCTTTATTTTCTAGCCACTGCCCAAAGAATAAATTTTTGTGTGCAAAAAATCCAGGGCCTCCTCTCCTCTCTCTCCAACTACAAGAGCCTTTTGGAAAACGAATGAATTTGACCTGCTCTGCTCGGATTCTCTCTGCTCTCAAAAGATTTCCTTCTTTTGTCCTTGTCTTTGCCTCTCCTTTTCATTGATGCCACCATGCCTCTCTCTCTCTCTCTCTCTCTCTCTCTCTCTCTCTCTCCCTTTTTGAGTTTCTAGCTAGGTGGTTTTAGGCGCAGTAGTACTAGTACGTTTTAGCTGGTGTACACAATACTTTTTTTTTTTTTTTTTAACTAAGTGACGCATATTCACACGTTTTATTCCCTTTTCGCACTACCCATTTGGTTATAAATAGGCTTTCTCATTCTGTGTTCTCTTCATTGCATACCCTTTTCTTCTCTCGCATTGCAAATAGGGGGGCTGTTTAGTTCAGTTTACCGGAAGGCCAAGATGAGTTATGCGCATTCTAACATGGGTTCTGGTTTGTTTCTCTACCTCTTTTCCTTTTGGTCTTAAAGTTTATATTATTATCTTACAATACATCTTATGGACTTGGATTCCATTTAAAAGGTCAGCCTATTAAGTAGCCTAGTCCAATATCCTTATGAAATAGCGTTGACTCGTATGATGGAACAGTTCATATGTATGTGCGTGGAAAAGGGTCATTTTCTTAGTCGCCTCCTAGGCAGTGTTTTTTTTTTTTTTTTTTTTTTTTTTCATTAAATATTTTTCTTTTGGAACTTCAGGTAGTAGAACCGCTAGGAGGACAATTGAGTTTGGAAGAACTCATGTGGTGAAGCCCAAAGGGCAGCATCAAGCAACTATAATATGGCTACACGGGCTCAATGATAATGGCTCAAGGTATTGTTGCTCTTTTCTCATTGTAGTACTACTTTACGTTAAGAAGGTATTATTGTCATTCAGTTTCCAAAAGATAATAACAAATAAATACCTTGTATTTTTTTGAAATGCTACACTCCATCTTCGAAATGTCAATATGTATTCCCTAATTTTACAAATCGTATTAAAACCTTTTAACACGAACACACAGTTTCTAGGGAGGTTTTTAACATGATATGTAAAACATAGGGATAGGTGTTGAATTCCTAAAACCATAAGGAGGAACGCAGAATATCTATAAAACACGGGAGAGACTTTTGTTATTAACCCTTTTAGGAATCCTCTTGTGTGTAAACACGAAATCTTGGTCCGGATGCTTTTCACATTCGGCAACTTGTGAGGTAAATGTATAGTTCTGAATTGTTAAAGAAACAGTTTCTGATAGAGTTCATCTTAACATAAAAAGTAACCGAGCATGATCCAAGTATAAGAGAATCAAATCATTTACTTTATTTCTTTGTGTGAACTTTATTGTGAGATGGGTAGGTAAGAACTCAAAAATTAATAATAATTGTCGTATTTGATGTTATATTCCCTGACTTGACACCAAGAGTTGATGCTCTTGCATTCTTTTCTTTTTGTTTTCAAGTACATGTCCTGTCTTGTGAGGAGGGATTTTGTGCTTTGAGAGATAAGAAAATGAAACGAGTTTGAGAATGTCAACATCTTTGCATGCTCTATAGTCTATAGTGGCGGGTCCATAAGATAAACTTTCCATGTTGAGCTTCCTTTCATGGAGATTCTCATTCAAAAGAAAGAAAAGAAAAAGAAAATTGTAGGGCAGAGAACAGTGCTCGTAAATTTATGCATAGTTCGATTTTTTTTTTTTTTTTTCCTTTTTTCATTTCTTGTGTGATTAGATGCTAAGCTTAATTTTTCCTGCTGAACAAGATATGACCTTCGATGAAGAATATATTTTTCTTATATAGTAAGCTGTGATTTTCTATTGGTAGATCCCCAATTTTCTTTATGGTAAATACATAAACTGGTTACCTGTTTTTTTTTTTTTTTTAGTTCTTTTTGTTATTGAGTATTTACAAATGACAACAGATTTGTGGTTTTCTGCTACAAATTATGTGGTTCCTATGTTTACTGTTACATACCAATAGATATTAGCTGAAGAATAATGTTTACAGTTTAAAGTCAAAGGCAGGCATGTTGTCTCATTTTCTCTTCCATTTTTTTGCAGCTCATCTCAGCTCTTGGAAAGTCTTCCTCTCCCTAACGTAAGTTTATATCTGTTCTCTCAACTACATTCAAAAGGTTAAAGAAATTGTTTTCTTTTTCTCTCGTAAGTTACTTCCTCTGACACGTTTATGAGTGTATTTTCAACTATGTTGCAGATCAAGTGGATATGTCCAACTGCTCCTACCCGTCCTGTTGCATCGCTTGGTGGTTTTTCTTGTACTGCATGTGAGCTTAACCACCTTTTGCAGTTCTGATAGACTAGTTCATTTTCTAATTAATGTCCTGTATACTTTTTTTTGATCTTATAAAACACTTTTGAGGAGAATTAAGAATCCTGCATATGCTTCTGACATTCCTATCAGGGTTTGATGTGGGTGAGCTTTCGGAAGATGTTCCAGATGATTGGGAGGGTTTAGATGCTTCGGCAGCACATATTGCAAACTTGTTATCAACTGAGCCACCTGATGGTACTCACTAACTCACATAGGCAAATTCAACATCAACATGAGAACATAGATTACTTGCTTGGTTATTCCTTTCATTTATTGTATAACAAGGTCTTATAAAAATAAAATTAAAAAAAAAAGTAAGAAACACTTTATATTCATACTGAGATACAGACCATGTTAGTTCTCACCTTGTTCTGGTTTTTTCATTTAGCTTTGCGTATTTTTCTTGAGAAGCATTTAGTTTGAGGCAGTGCCTATGCCTTGTGTTGTGTCCAACTGTCAATCAGTCTGATTAAAGAAACCTTCATCGTTAAGACACTTTTTGGAAACAGTTAAAGTTGGCATTGGAGGCTTCAGTATGGGTGCTGCTATGGCTCTTTATTCTGCAACTTGTTTTGCTTTGGGACGATACGGAAATGGAAACCCTTACCCCGTCAACTTAAGGGCAGTCATTGGTCTAAGTGGCTGGCTTCCAGGATCAAGGTATGACTTGATGCAGAAGGCTTCTTAAACCACGTTCTTCCTTATAGCCTTCTTACTTACATATAGTAATTGCTTTATGAATGCTTGAAGAGATAATTTGATAACTTGTTTCATCTATTGTTATATGACTATTCAAGTTTAGACAGATGGACCACTACTCTCTATTCATGTATTTCTACAGAGTAGAAATTGACTTGAATAGGGGAATTCTGTCTAGGGGCGTTCCATATTTAATGGTCAATGGTTACTGTCATGCAGGATCTTGAGGAATAAAATAGAAGGGTCACATGAGGCTGTGAGACGTGCTGCTTCATTACCTATTTTTCTTTGTCATGGAAGCTGTACGTAATATACCTCTTATATACTATTTTGCTCACGGTTTTATCATGACTATATTGATATATGACACTAAAATCTTATGAAGAGCTAGTTGCAGACAAGTATTTTAAACCATTCATTTGTGAAGACTTCACAAATTGGTTTGGCAAGTGCACTGACTTTGTTATTTTTATTGTAGGCGATGATGTAGTTCCGTACACGTACGGCGAGAAATCAGCTCACTGCTTGAGTTCTGCCGGATTTCGATACCTTACGTTGAAATCGTTTGACGGGTAACTACTCCTTTCTTCGTTTTTATCCTTCTTTTTTAGTATAAAAAGAGCAAGTAAGCAAATAAGAATTGATGAGACAGAAGCAGTTTTTTCTGAAGTGTTTCGTTCAAACTATGCAGGCTTGGCCATTTCACAATCCCAAGAGAAATGAATGAAGTTTGCAATTGGCTGATTGCAAGGCTGGGGCTTGAGGGGTCTCGCTAATATTTTTGTCAGAATTTGTAGTCGGAGATAATGAAGGAATAAAAATAGGTTTCAAATAATAACACATATTATGTACAAGTAGCCACCCTACAGGGCTGAAGGCATGAGCTAGATGCTATATAGGTTACAATAAAGTTTTACTTGCGTTCTTGTTTTTGTTCCACTTTGTAGAAACTAGATGTTAATTATTCTTAATCTTAGATTTATTTGGCTATTTGTTAATGTGATATTTATCTAGTTGGAAAACTTTTTTTTTTTTTTTTTTTGATAAGTAGTTCGAAAACATTAGTCTCTGCAGATTATCTCCCTTCCTAGCTGATAATGAATTAGATTACGACGTTTTGAATTTGAATTATTTAGTTATCAATTAAGATATGCTTAATCTTTAGTATTTAAATTGAAATTTTAAATTATGTTTATCTATTAGGATTATTTGAAATTATAAAGTTGTGAAAGTGGTGATCCCGACTTATTATGGCTATAATATAATTTGAATATTTTTATTAATGGCTCACATATTGTAAGACTTATCTGATCTTATCAATTCATAATTCTTTTCAAATAAATCATGAATTTGTCTAAGACGGTATTAAAGATCTCAATGAAAACTTACAGCGGCTTGCCAAATAAAAACTACGAAAAAAATAGGCATTACTAACGTAACATCTACGGTTAGATTTTAAAAAACACAGGCTATGCTTTTGGTGACGAAAACTTAAAAAAAAAAAAAAAAAAAAAAGGACGGAATTAAGACTGACACGTATCAAACTAAACATATTAAGCACAAAAAACATTTTATGATTTCTTCAAGAAACTAGGAGATTCCTGATCAGCCGAAAGGACTGGCTGAGATGATTCTTGATTTCATTAGTATCGTTGGAGTTTCTTTGATCAACGTCACTGTCAAAAACACATGATAAAATATTAAGAAAACAATAAATAATAATAAATTAATGAACAAATAAAGTTAAGGAAAATGAAGACATGTTTGATACACCGTATAAACACTTCATATTGTATTATTTAATAATAATATAATGTTTGGTGACATTTATACATCGTATAATTTAATACGAGATTCAAAATTAATACAATACGAAGTTTGATATTTAATATGAAAAAAATCTATGTATTAGACTGTATTATGCAATTTAACTTAAAATACCATATTGAAAACGTATAAAATATTTCACAAATATCAAGGCTCGGGGTTGGCTTTTAGGACCGACGTTAGGGTCAAGTTTCAGGACCGGAGTGATGTTGGGTTTATATTTTCTAAAAATTATATTTTGACCCCTAAATTATTTTTAAAAAATTATATTTATGACCCATCAATTTTCAAAATTATATTTTAAACCCTCAACTTTTTCAAAATTATATTTTCACCCCTACTTTTTAAAAATTACAATTTGACCCCAATTTTCAAAAAATTTTGTAAAAAGACCCCCATATGGCAACTCTACTTTCTCCCATGCTTCCTCCAAATGTTGGGTTCGGATCAAAATTAGAGTCGAATTAGGTTATGATTATACATAATTTTGCTTTATTACAAACTAATACGTAAATAAATTACAATAGTAAAAATAATATAATGTTTAATAAAATCACCAACCAAACACTGTATTGTAAAAAATTTATATAATACAATACGATACGATATGATACAATACAGTGCACCAAACATACCCTAAAGAATTACCTTCTTTGATAGGGTGATGAGAAGACGAATTGATTGTTTTGAGAGGCAAAACCTCTCAGAACATAACGTAGTGGCAACAGAGAAAAATCGCCTACATAGTTGAAGAAACTAGGAGATTCCTGATAAACCAAAGAACTGGCTGGGATGATTTCTTGAATTTGTTTTATGTCATTGGAGTTTCCTTGATCAACATCACTGTCACAAAACACATGATAAAATATTAAAAAATGATAATAATAAATTAATGAAGGAATAAAGTTTGGGAAAATAATTAGAATTTCCTTCTTTCAGAGGGTGATGAGAAGACGAATTGATTGTTTTGGGAGGCTGATTAACATGAAACATAACATTGTGGCAACGGAGAAAGATCACTTGCATAATTGAAGAAACTAGGAGATTCCTTATTAACAACAACAACAAGCCTTAATTCTAACTTAATTAAAGTCGGCTATATAAATTTCACTTTTCCACGTAGCTATGTGAGATTCCTGATTAACATGGAAAAAAAACCCATTGAAAATACGCTTTTATAAAACTCTGGCAGGAGAGAAACAAAAGTTATAGAAAAATGCTTAAGAGCACCACTAGTGTTAAAAACCACCATCTAATAAAAAGTGGGATACGATTTGTGAGTTTACGTTGCGAGACTTACTTTCTATTAGATTTGTTGGAAAAATGGCTTGTTAAGTCATTTTAAGGGCCCATTTTGAGGCCCATAGTCGGATGGGGCCTAATAGGTTTTGAGACGGGTCTCGATGGATTTGCGTTCTCCGTCGCGAGGAGATCAAAATCGAGTATTCATACACTCAAAATGATTTTTGGGTGAATGAGAAATTGATGGTCTAAGTATGGTACGAGCTTACTTTTGCAATTTTTTGTTTTGCTTCAGCTATGTCTTTCCAGCCGTTTGGCCAGCATTAATGGTGATTAAGGAGGCATAATGAGACTTGATGAAGGGAAACACCGAATTAGGTTTATGGAGAGCTTAATGACTTCGGTTTTATCATAAAAAAATCTGAACCTTGTAAGCTTTGTGGCCAGATTCATCATGGGATATCAAAACGTTTTGCTCCATTATTTTGCAGAGTGATGGCTGGTTTTAATCACCATTATTTCGGGAATAAATCTGGGTCATTACACCATAATGTCATGGTGTAACACCCAGATTTTGCAGGCTATATAAGGGCCATCCTCCACATGAACAAGACACTCATTCTTCCAGAATTCTTCTTCTCTTCTCTTACTTCTGTTCTGTCCCCGTGTTATTGTGCTTTGTCTTCTTGTAGTTCGGTTTTGGTGATAGAGGAAAGATAAGGAATAAAGTTTGGGAAAATAATTAGAATTTCCTTCTTTCAAAGGGTGATGAGAAGACGAATTGATTGTTTTGGGAGGCTGATTAACATGAAACATAACATTGTGGCAACGGAGAAAGATCACTTGCATAGTTGAAGAAACTAGGAGATTCCTGATTAACAACAACAACAAGCCTTAATCCTAACTTAATTGAGATCGGTTATATAAATTTCACTTTTCCACGTAGCGTTGTCGTTGTATCCTGGGAGACGGACGTCCAACGTAACCTCAAGCACACGCCGGAGGGGACGAATCTGTTTTAAGGAAAACGTGGTCCACGTGCTTCGACATCCTTGCAATTTCCAATTCCGAGTTTGGTAGAAAGGTTCAATTTACAATTGTATGTATTTTGGTTTTGTTATTTCTTAACTTGTTCCTCTTTTGTATTATCCATACTATTTCGGCTAATAAGATTAAGTATCACCGATACCTTATAGCATTCCTCAAAGTTACATGGTTGGCTTACTTGAGATGACGGTGGTGGCGGGTTACGATTTGGTTCCGGCAAAGAGTCCATATTGCTGAGAAGAAGAAACTCGTGAAAGAAAGATTTGGCGCAGAAAAGGTTTATGGAGGAATGGTTATGGCCGACGAATCAATGATAATTATGACAAAATTATCTCGTAACTTTAATATAAATACATAAGAAAATTATCACTGTTTTGTAATACATCTCGAAACAATTTTTAATGGAATTATCTCGTAGTGTTTCTTCTTTCTGAGAATTATCTCTTTTTTCTTTTTAGAATTATCTCCAAATTTCCTCAAAAAAGAAAAAAGAAATTATCTCCAAATATTGACAATTTGAAAAAGAAATAAATAGTTTAGACGTTAAAAAAAAAAAATCTATAACAAAGAGAGTTGTTGTCCTTTAAGATTTTGTGGAACAAACTGTAGCATTCTGTTAAGTTTTAACTGAAATTACATAACTTTTTTTTAGTAGAGAAAGTATCTAAAAATAGATACATGGACGTGGGAAGAAATCCAATCATTAATGTCTTTTTCTATCTAAAGAAGGAGTAAGAATAAATCATGTGATGTTAAAAAAATAACATAAAAGATTTATTTAATTGTCTGGAAAAAGAAATAAGACATGATTAAGATTAAAGATCATAAAATTGTTGGAGGCATCAAGCTGAACCTGAAAAATTGAGAATTATAAATAAAGGAACAGAAAAGATAAATCATAATCAATATAAACAAAGAGTAAGAAAGATTGACTTATTTGAATAAAGAAAAAAAATTCCAATCAGTTGAATAATAAAACTGACACCATCAAAGAAGCGTTGGAATGTTAAATTCTATTAAGGTGATTGTTGTTTAGCTGAGAGAGGAAGTAAAAGAAAGTTGTTTGGACGTTCCCTACAAAACTCCATATCTCCATATTCAGAGAAAACGTAAAAAAAGAAAATATATTATTTTATAAAGTATCATGAAACTACGTTTAAAGAGAACCATTTTTAATTTTATTTTTATTAAAAAAATTTGAGTAATACAGAAAATTGTTTCAGTAAGCACGGTTTGAGAAGAATTGAAAAATTTAGACAAATATTTTATAAAGGAAATTCAATAGGATTTTGGACGTCAAATTCTAACAAAAACTCAATAGTAGGTACTGTTAAAACTCCTAATAAAGAAGATTATTTAACTCTTACAAGAAGAGACTGATGCTCTTTTTTAAGAGATTGTAATATATAGTTATTAGAAGATGATAATATTGGGCAAAGTAAATGAATCAAAATATCATAGGTAATAGAAAATTGTTTCATTAAAATAACTATAAAAATTTAAAAATATATAAAATAGTGCAAATAGCTAAAATAATCCGTTTTTTATTTTTTAGTAGTAAAGTAATCTGTTATTATTTCTACCATATGTTAGCAAACCCCGTAGAACACACACACACACACACACATATATATATATATATTATATAAAATGAGTTCCATTAAAATATGAGTAATTTTATTGAAAGAGAAATCAAAGTAAAAAAAAAATATTCAAATAACAATAACGACAACCGTAAAATATAATCTACGTTTGGATAGTTATAAGATAAGATATGAATAACCATAAGTAACCGTTTTGAAAAGGAAAACAAATTTAAGAGGAAATATACTGAGTAAGAAGAGCAAGATTCTGAAAAGAATATAA